AAAAAAAAACAGTTTTGTACTGCTTTCAATATGTTTTAGTACAACTGTCAAGTTCTTTTGAACCCGATAGAACCTCCGTAAATCTGATCTATGGATGTGGAATCTTACGATATACACATCGTAAAGCTATCACTTGAACACAAGCTATGCACATTCACGTTGTGCGTGAATATATTTATGCATGATCATCTCCGACTAATAATTCATTGGCTGGATGGCGTCGTCGTTTTGCTTTCATTCAAAGTGATCACATTCCACACTGGTAATGCCAGTAGCAGTTTACAATATACGTAAATATGGTACAGTCTCATGCGTGTATGAAACTGATTAATTATTAATTAATAACAATGGTAACGATAAACAAAATACTGACAACAACGAACAACACTGCTAAATGCTAATCACTAGCAGGTTTCCAACCGCCGAATCCACTCTGAATATGTTTCGCAAGCTGAATCAAAATGAAGTCGTTAAACGGCGAAGTGACCATCTGAAAGCCTAACGGTAAACCGTTCTTATTGAGACCCATCGGACACTGAATAACGGGCAACGATAGAGTGTTGAATAGAGCCGTATAAATGAAATTGAATGGTGTCAATAGAGGTTGATTGTGGTACGGAACTGTGGTCGGGAAGGTTGGGAATATTAAGATACCGTCATCTTGTAGCAACTGTTTCAATTCACGATTCAATCGTTCACGACTCGAAACCAACTGAAATTTGTTGATTCAATTTCGATTTATTTCAAAAGTAATAGTGGCATAATGCGAACAACAATACGAGTAGTAAAAATGAAAATGAAAGAAAGAACAGAAAAGATACCTTTTCTTTGTGTTCCTCATTGAACGGTGATTGTCTATCCAAAATGCCAGTCACTATGGCTGGTAAAGTATGTCGAGAATTGCCGCAAAACCACTTCATTAGCTCACCAATGCAGTCCACTTCTGACTGAATTTATCTCCATCAACTGTTGTGATCATGATCGTATTCAATTATTGATATGTCCATCAAAACTGCTATCAGTAGTCAATAATATAATGAATATGAATGACGGTAATAAATAACACAATGAAAAACCTTAAGATCAGTCATGTAGTGTGCAAATGACGGTGCTCCAGGAACTTCCATGCTCGAGAAAAACAATTCGACAGCGTAATGCACAAATGGAAGATCTAATCTTATTGCACAAATATCGTACTTCGTTTCGAAGAATTGAACAGCCTTGAAGAATCACTTTTAATGAAACACATTCATGATATCAGACATAATAATAATAATAATGAACCATACCCTCATCAAAGCATCACCACATTCAGAAGAGACACTCTGTGCAAACGGTGTTCTCAAACCTTCCATGTAAAACAATCGTATTTTACGAACATTTGTCAATTGATGCTGTTTCACCAAATGCATCGAATTTTCTGGTATCATCACCTTAAAGTACCATATCCCATTATATTTATTACTGTTAACACGATTGATTCATTTCTAAACATTAACATTATTCCTTGTCAATAATAATTATTTTAGATGAATTTACAGTTTCTTCACTACTGAATAAGAAATTGAATGAACCTTCATCATGACATCGAGATCTTCAGCATATCTACATATAGGTCCAATATGTAACATCTCTTGACGGAAGCCCTCCAATGGTGGCAGATGGCCCTCCAGTGGCACAAGACCTAAAAACGTTAAAAAAATCAACGGTAAAAATAATACAAGTTGAACAAAAGATAAACAAATTACCATTGGTAGGTTTCAGCCCAAAAACACCGTTGAAGTAGGCAGGTATTCGTATGGAACCGCCAATATCACTACCCAGGCCGATCACTGAACCGGCCGACGAGATGAGACAAGCCTCGCCGCCGCTACTACCGCCGCTTATCAGACGGGTATCGTAGGGGTTTTTGGTACGTCCGTAGATCGAGTTCACTGACTCCCACCACATACACACCTCAGGCACATTTGTGACCGCTAGGATTATAGCACCTGCATTTTTCATTCTGAAAGTATCATTGCTTCATCAGTAGTATTGTACTGATGACATTGCGCTCACTTCCTTTTTTGAGCATTTATCGCTTATTCATTCATCTAATCAGTGTTATCTATCACTACAATATTTTTAATCACACTTTCAAGCCTAAGCCAAAACAACATGATTCTAATATTTATCATTGTTGATTATTAATATTACTTATTGAATAAGTGAATAATAACCTCTTAACAACTTCAGCATCTTTATTCGATACCAAATCCTTTCGTGATGATATTCCAATTGTACATTTCAAACCATCCACTTCAATGCAATCTTTTAGTGTGAACGGTACACCCAATAGAGGTTTGTTTTTGAGCAGCTGAATTGAGTGGTTATGTTTTGAGATAGTGATCAGGATAGCGATCAACAAACGAATACCTCATTGAACTCATCTGAACCACTCTCCAAATTCTCACATATTCTATCGACTTCTTTTGCACTTTTTCTCGCATTCTCGAAATTTTTCTGCACAACCGCGTTTACAATTCCATTCACATGCTCGATTCGTTCTATATAAGCCTCTATTAATTCTTCACTTTTTAACTAAAATAAACATTATTATTACTATGATGTAATAATATTATTAATAAAACAAGCAAAACAATTATCAGTACCTCTCTATTTATAATCATATCAGCTGCTTGCGTGGCACTGATCAGCAATAAACTGTTATTCGGTTTACGCACATAATTCTTTTTGATGAATAAATTAAGAAACCAAAATAAAAAATTTATCCATTGGAAATATATTTCAGTGACGATCAATAATAATGGTCGAAATGTTTCGAGGAAATCTGCGAGCATAAAACGTAACGTTCTGAAATTGTTCACCACACATTGTCACTTATCATTATTGTTATCGTATTTATTATTATTTTTATTATTATTATTATTGTTATTATTATTATTACCATCATTATTATTATTCTTATTACTATTATCATTATTATTGTCGTTATTGCTATTATCATGATAATACCTATTACTATGAATTTCAATAACAATGTAAGAAAAGAATTTCAACCATTACCGAATTCTAGGATATTGTTTATTTGGGAATATAAGACGGTAGATTAAATACGAGAAAGTGGTGATAAAGGACATAATGAAATGAATAGCAGTCAACAAAACAATATAAGACTAAACTTGACGATAACAATAGCAACAATAACAATTACAATAATCAATTTGAATGGGATTTATTTTGAAGATATCGAAACTGGTTTTGTTGCGTGAACGACATTGAAATGAATTATCAATCATTAATGCACAAATAAGTGTAATAGCGAATGAAGTTTCTAATTCACTTCGATTTTCATTTGCAAATATGTCGAAATTTCGTCAGAATCGACAGTGTCAATGCCATTGCGCTATGAAGGTGGTGATTTGGCTGGCGCTTTTGAAGGTAAACAACAAACATAAAAATATGATCGTTCTAATTACTGTCACTCAATTGAAACAAGACAAATTTATCATTTCATTTCATTTCAATACAATTCAATTCATAACAAATTTGTCATCTCTCTTTTACATCGTATAATTGCTGTCGTTTCATTTATTCATTTCCTCAAATGTACCTATCTTCACATTTGAATATCGCTCATCTCAAGCTGAAAGTTGTGCTTACAATTAGGCTCAGAATGAGACTACGTTCCAAGCTCCAAGTTGCTCTTGCCAATTTCTATCGTTTACGTTTGTTGAATTGCAAGAAATTTTGAAAGATCTTTCTTTGAAAGGTTTTGAGAATTTGCATAATTTGAACATGAATGTTAACCAGCCATAACCGTAGCAAATAAATCCTTAACTTGGAACCGTTCAAATGCAAAATTGAAAGACAAAACAAATAATTTTGTACCAATACGATTGGACAATAATCACGAAATATATTGACTCAAACGCTTGTCATGCTTTCCCTTTCTGCCTTCCTTCACTCAACCGAATACATAAACAACAAACAACATTTAAATAATCTCTTCATCAAATTTCTTAAATAAACCTTAAAATCATTTTCCATGCACATTACAATTTTCGTTTCAATTACGTAAAAACATATCGATGAAAATTGTTTCAATTGTAAACACGATAATATTTTGATGCAAATTTCCGTCCAAAAACAAGAATTTGACACATCAAATATCGCATTGCATCCTTAATTTCCTTCATTTTCAACAATCAAAAATCACCAGCGAATACATAGAACTCTCCTTAAAGTACAAGCATCAAATTCCTTTCATTTCATAAGGTCACATTGAAATGGTTGAGGAATGACTGAATAAGGGAAATGATTTAGTGATATTCACAACAACATATAAAGTGATATTCATTTGAACAGGATAGATTAAAGCAAAAAGAAGTTGATGTAAATGTAACGTATCAAATCGCAATAAGTTCTGTCAGAAGTAAGTTATGTCACGGTGATTATAATCGTTATTCAATCGCGAAGAGACAGATTCCCATTCTAAACCTTAATCAATATTCTACTGATTGAAAAACCTGATTGAAACGTTTTGTTATTCGATCAAATTTGATGGATTAAACAAAAGCGAACAAAGTAACACGTCAATCAAATCAAAACTCTCTACTAATAACATCACATTTGCTGGTGTGTTTACCTGTTTGTTAGATAAATACTGCCTCGTTGTTATCACTGATTATCATTATTATTCTCTTATCTCTCGCTATACTAACAAAAATATTCACATCTTATAACTTCATTATCACTTTCTTGATTCTTGAATAACATGTCAATCAAATCTTCCAGCGATATTCATAAACGGGCTATTCTTTTTCATATTCTGTCCAGATTCAAACAATTTTCTATAGAAACCAATTTGGCATGATGGAAACCTTACGGCCCATTTTTGGGCTATACAATAGGAATACCCAGGGTTTAGAATAAAGTTTATCACGGAACAGAAGCTGGGCCCCATATTGAGGCTTCGATTCAAGCGGTTATTACGATTAGGACCTATCCAATCATTAGTTTATATTTCTTTTTCGATGTGCATCTGATAACATCATATTTATCAGTTATGTTTAATAACGCCTAAGCAAATGCCAATAACACATTATCATTTCGCATTATCAGTCGCGCATCATATATAGATTGTATTCTGCAATAAATGCATTGTTTGTTTATTAATGAACGCTTAAACCATAAAAATTTATTTTCAAATAAACTCGTAAAATTTCAAACAGTTCATGCCTTTGTCGATCTAATAAATGTTCAAATTCACTTGTTCTTCAAACCTACGTGTTGCCATCATCCTATAATCATCATCATGCTTTTTCAAGGCGGGTTTTTGTTCGCTTCAAATCATCGAATCTATTTACGCCAGTTCTCTAGAATAACCAAAAATTCCGGTTTATACAGTCTAAAACTCGATATTCCTCCTCAGAAGCGCCATTCAAAACCGATGTCAACTGCAATTCTACTGACGATGAGCAAATTTCGTTTCTGATCTACTCACATCAGTTCAGCAAATTCCTTCGTTGAGTCGTTCTTAACCGTCACCCGCAAAAAAAACACTGAATTTTAAGGAAGTGCTGCTCAACAATGGCGCTATTCAACAACCGCACGTTCAACAAGCCATATTTCCATAAATTAACTCGGATGAATTCACTCAAATGCTCTTCTCCTCCTCGAAAGTATTACGCCATACGATTTCTTAGGGAAATGCGGCTGCAAAGGCATTATTCCATTCTATGTGTTCGAGTGCATCCCTTGGAATTCCTTATTACTCCATACAGTGACTTGTAAAATAATTTTCATCAAATTTCGATGGCAGTTTTATTTCTTGCAGACTTTTGCCATCTACAGCCGAACGGCTCAACGGACGCGAATTTCGAATCAATGCAAACATTAGCAAGAAATTCTTCGAGACAAACAATCACCTCAGTGATCTCTAAGCTCGGGTGCTCTACAACCCCCTTGGATCACCTGGGAGGCCGTCATTACCTCGCTCCCTCTACAAGAATTCATTATTTCCACGCATAACGTCAGAACTGATTTCCCAATCCCTTCCATTACCCCTTGTTACTCACAAATTACCCAAAAATGGATAATTCCTCCCTACGAGGATCCCTGAACTACATAATAACACAGTACCAAATAACACTATATAGTAACCGTTCAGTATCATTACGGTGAACGACTCCATTGAATCTCTGCTCTATCGTGCTATTTGCACCAGTCATTCGAGCACTTAGTTCTATTCTCACAATCAGCTATCGTATAAATCACTTTCGACTATACCGTTAGTGTTGATGGTTCTGATGCTACCGCTTTGATGATCCTATCAAATGTAGCTTACGAGTTCAAGATCGGTTTCAATTCGATAGCCGGTCACTCATCGGGTCACATTACCGCACCCTTCAGCTCCGAGCAATTGTGGCTTTCAGATACTCCAACGAAAAATTGTGTCTTTCAAATAGACGCATGCATCGCATCGTCTGCGTGCACTAAACCAACACACATTGCAAAGCATTCAGTCGGATTGGATTGGCTGTGCATATTTTGAACAGTTTATTCAATATTATTGAATACATAGTAATAATAATCATAATGTATGAATTGAATTTATCATTTATTATCACTATTATTATTACTGAATAAAAAAAGAAAAGAAAACAACTTTAAAGCCAAATGAATTCCAATCGAAATGCAAATTTAAAATTTCGTGATAATCATCAGATAAGTAAAATTAATAATAATAATATTATTATTGTTAACGAAAGCAGAAATAATAATATTAATGTTATTATTATTATTATTATTACAATTGCAGTGACATAATCCCCAAAGAAATGTACGTTTTCTGATAACAATCAAATGATAATGAATGACATTATTATTAAGATTATTATTATTCATTATGGCAATAATGTTTAATTCAGAGCAATAATAATAATAAATATCATAATAATAATAATAATAATAATAATAATAATAATAATAATAATAATAATAATGTTAATGATCGCCTC